TAAGTTCACAGTCAAAAACAAAGACTTTAACACAAATTAATCAATAAAACCTCAAGTCCACACTCAAACACATGCCCACACTCAAAACCATTGTAAAAAGTAACACCAAAAGTTTTTAGGAGTCTGGAAGAAGTTGAGTAGGTCCTCTGGACAGGTTCTTCTTTGCAGTCTGAGGATTTATAGGTAAACTCAGCCATATGAATGTGATTCTGCCACAGAGAGCCTTACCTGAGTTTTTCGCCAAATAAAACAAAGTGAAACAAAGACATTTATATTTGCGTATTTGAGTATGTTGTGTAGATCCATTGCCTATAAACTAAATGAAATGCTATTGAAATTTCAGATTTTAAGGAAACAAAATGTGGAAATCATTCACAAGGTTGAATATTTTTGCAATCTTCAGTAAGAATTTTGTGCATTTGTGCATGCACAACATTTATTTTCAGTGTTTCAAATGTGCATGCTTCCACACACATTATATATTGGTTGCCTTCATACAGAGGTCACAGAACGTTGAGCTGAATTTCTTCTCTGCTGTGGCATGGTTCAGCTGCTGCTGTGTTTGCCCTCCCTTCCCACTGCTATCTGTGCATTCCCCACCCTTTGTCTGCCTCCTGCCCAAACCCTAAAACCCATGGCTCAGTCAGAAAGACAGCCAAGCTGAGAGAGGTGATATCTTTCAGCAAACAAACAGCTGCTTTGTTCGACACGCTCTCTGTCCATATCAACCTCACACTCGTGATAAGCTCCCAACAAGATCTTCTGTCCAACAAACAAACAATTGAGAAGGATTGAAGGGAAAATACTAATTCTACATGCTTTTCTGAAGCCTTTTTTTTTTCCTGGAGGTGTACATGCACTATAAATAAATGTGTGTACTGTGTCTAAATTCTGAACAATCCATACATCTCATAGTGTAAGTCAGGTTTTAGTCTGGGTATGAGTTTGCATGCTCCTTTCTGTGTGCACACATTTGGCTGTTTTCCAAATACCCTCCAGCTGTGATATGTGGATAGACATCACTGCCTTGTTTCCACTTTATATTCTGTTTGGCTCTGTGCCCTCGTCATGTCTGCAAATTTAATTTGATTGCAGCCGTAATCTGCAAGCTAGTTAATTGACTTTGCCCAGCATTGTTCCCTTTGCTAACTTACAGGAGAGAGGTACCTTGATAAGTTCCAATGTCTTATCCTCTCGCTGCAAACCTGCTCTCACATTGTGTGCTTTTGGTCACAAGAGAGAGCCGGTCTAGTGCTGGGAAAATAATGCGATCCCACCGGAGCTGCCGAGCTGACCACCATTTTTCTGCTATCTTGTTGTCAGAGTAAGCAGGAAGGGCTTCGGTGATGGCCCCCTGACAAATTCAACTCCTATAAAATCCATTTGGTCTGTCAAAGTATCATATGTCAAATTTGTCTCAGATAATTAATTTCATGTAGATCGCATTGCCACAGACAAGCATTTTCTGTGAAAAATATTGTCACCACAATTGCACTTTTAATTACCATGGACAAATGACAACTCTAACCATTAATCCTTTCTAACCTTCACATACAATATACTAAATTGCCTTAATGAAAATAAAAACCAATGATATATATGTAACAATCATTTTCAGATAAACATTCAAAGGGGTTGACGTATTAGTAGATGCCCCTTTATGTATAGGTCTTAGACGTTAAAGCAGAGTAAAGCAAAACTAAATCTTAAAAATAACAAATAAATTGAACCCTGAGCTTTGATGTCACCTGCTGTATTTAGATTTATATCATATTTTTTTAAATTAGCAAACATAAATTAAAGAAAGAAACACAGAAAGTGTTTGATGCTGAGGCAATTATGGTTTATTTTTTATAATTAAAACTGGATTGAAAAGCCTAGAGAATGACACAAACGCATTAAAGGAGAAACTGAATATAACTGCTTTATTGACACTTTGCATCTTTCATTTAAATTTAAATGTAGCTTTAATGTTTATTCCAAGTGAAATCACTCAATATATTTGATGGGCAAACCAAAGAACACACTCTAGCCTGTAGCTCTTTGTTTAAAAGCAAAACTAGCTAAGAATGTTAAAATATTGCCAGTAAATGCTCTTCAACCTGGTATAAACTCCAAAAAAAGTGAATGGCAAAATCCAATTTTGTCAGTTTTAGTGGCATTGTTGGAACATATGTTCCAAAGTAGTTTGCAGTAATTAAAGTGCAGTGAGACAATGACCTAGAATGAGGAGTGCCTCAGGAAGTGAAGCATAATGAGGAACATGCAAGCCTTTCTCTGACAAATTTAGCTCACTTAGAAATGGATCGGTGGCGTTTGAATACTTAACCACGACAACTCAAGTTCAAAAAGTAAGTGTCATTATAAAATGACTGTTCCCCATGGAGGAGGCAGTGATTTATTTTTAGCCAGTCCTGGTCACCAACAAAGGATGAGAAGGCTACACACCCATGCTTACTAACACTCTTTGGTTTATTAACTTTATTGTAACTTGGCAAATAATATCTCATTTGAAGATGAATGTGACAGTAGTCTTGTTTTCATACTTTTTTTCACCTATCAACATGAACTGTGAAAAAAAAAATTGATGCGTCTGACCTACACTGTGTCAGTCAATGGTTTTACGATAGACCCCATGTTTGAGGAGGGAGCTCCACCTGAATAGGGGGTGCCTGGACACACATAAATGCATAGAACTCAAAAACTATTCAACACAGGAGCTACAGATTTTTTTGGGTTATTTTTTTAGCTTTGATGAAGGACTGTCCATCGTGCCCACCAATGAGCACCCCCCACCCCCTCCGGATCCCCTGTGAAGAGGGGGGAAATAAGGTGGGCAACAAATTAATGGGCCTAGAAATGCTTGAATAATAATAATAATAACAACAACAACAACAACAACAACAACAAATAAGAAGAAAAATTGCAGATAAACATTGTAAGCAGTTATAAATAATAAAACAGATTTATTTATTTATTTATTTATTTATTCATTTATTTATTTTTCAACCTGAAAAACACTCTAGGGGACCAAAATAGTACATTTTGCCTATTAAAGGGGACCTATTATGCAAAATTCACCTTTTAAAGGTTTTCTTTACTCAACTTTGGGTATGTACTTCTTAAAAAACAGTCCTAGGACCAAAAATAATGCACCCAGGGGCATATTTACTGTAAGTAAATGTATTTTTTAATGTTTATTAACAACAAGTTTTATACTTCCATCATTTTGTGATGTCAGAAGCCGTACGACAACCCACTGGAACCTGCGTTCAGCCCCTTACCTAGCAACCCCCAGATGAAGCTCCACTTGCTCAGTGGAAAATGCCGTCAGTGTTGTTGTGCAATGTGCAGCTCATTTCACATTAAGCCACCAATAAGGCAATGGGTAGAGTGTTGGACCAGAGAGTGGGAGACCAGGGTTTGAGACCGGCACGGACACAATTATTTATTTTAATTCATTATGAACATGTTTTCTCATGTACCTTTATTGTTTAGCTTATTAAAGCCTTGTTAAAGCCTATTTGTTCGACTTCCTGAGGTATTTTGACCGCTGCTGCTCCCTGCTCTGGTAACAGCATGCAGAGTGAGCGCAGGGCAGAGGAGGGAGAGAAAAAAACAAGAAGCTGTGACCACGACTCTCCCTCTGGGTCTCTCATATGGTTGTACAACGGAGCTTCTGCTATTCTTAGCCACGCTGCTTTGGAGGGCGGCGTTAATGTCAACAGATTTTTGGAGGGCGTTACCAACAGAGCTCATTAACATAAACAGCTCTTCTGAACGGAAGTCAGAGCAGGCAGAACTAGAAAATGGGAAATTTTATTATCAGAGAATTATTTTGCGCATTAAATTGAATGAACATGGTCTGGATAGCCCACAGACATACCATAAAAATTTCTAGGGCCCATAATTGGTCTCCTTTAAGTAATGTTCATTCTAAGTATCTCAGTTTAAAATATACATGTTCAACTAAACTTTTTAAGTTGTAATTTTGTAAGGTTATAAGTCAGAAATTATTAAACTGTCATTTAAGTTGGTTTTACTAAAGCAATGGAAACTAAAAAATAAAAAGCTTAACAAATACACATACATTGTCAATTATAACGTTTTACCCTCTGCATGCTGAAATATCAAAACGTCATGATTTTGTTTTGTCTTGCAAACCTAACAAAATCTTGATGTCATCAGGTTGGTCTTTAAGTAGGCCACTGTTCAGTAAGGGGTCTTCTATAACCACTTTAACAACATTTAACTGTGGATCTGCTGTAGTGTTAAAAACTGATGGACCACAATTTAAACAATTCTTACAAATACATTAATGATAACAGAAACAAAAATAAAAGGGTAAACTGCAGGTACCTATGTAAACGCAAATGCAGTGATTCCCTTTCTGGAACCACAGCAGTGTTCAATGATTCTGAACAAAGTTAACCTTGTCCATGACAAACTAGACAAACACAATGTGGGTTAATGGCGCTAAGAGTCAGATCAATTGTGCTGGTTTACATTATGCTGTTCACTAGCAGGTCCACTATTCAGAGCAAACAAAATCAAACTGTCCCTGGCCTACTTAGATAAATAAAAGAAAACCCATTAGACAGGGACTATGGTTTCAGGATGCTGATTGAAAACAAGTCGATTGCTCAAATTAAAGCAATGTTTACGGTAGAATAAAAGACTGCAGATTAAACCGCCAACAGTGTGAAAAAGGCAAACAATTAATAAAAAAGGCTGCAATAAAGGAAAAGCTCATGAGTGTGAGCTTTGTTACCTTTGAACTCTTAGCAGCAAACAGGTAATGGTCTACCCCATGTGAATTAATTAGTAATAATGCTGAAGTTTTCATTAAAGCACTCAGTTAATTATTGAAATGCATCTGCCTGGGCAGGAGAACACATGGGATAAACATTAGCAAAACTTTGACAGACATGTTCCCTTTTTTTTCCCCCCATTGGGAACCAATATGCACACACAAGCATCATTCATTCAGAACAACTTACGGGTTGCCATAGTCCCAGACAACGCACTGAGGATCTGATGTACCCTGCAAGATAGAGAAGAGGGGAGAGGGGTGGGGGAGATAAGCTGTTATTGCCAGTCGAGAGGATGAGTGAGAGAGAGAAGGCGGCGAAGGAGGGAGAAGACAGAGTAGCTCGTTGCCAGAGGACAAAGAGTGATGCTGCATGGGCGATGGAGAGAAGTAAACAGACAATGAAAGAGAAGGATTGAGACGGACGGCGAGAGCAAGAGATGGAGAAAAAGTCATTGTCATAGAACGGAGTAGCAAATAACTGCTACTGCTGCAGGAAGAAAAAAAAAGGAGGCGTGTGAATTATGAATTTAAAGGCACTGGAAGCAACACAAGGATGCATTTCATGATCACAAACAGCAAACACGCTTTAGTGGGGAAGCTTTAAAGTTATTTATGTAACGTTAGAAAACAGTAAAGGGCAGCAACTGCCAGCCAGTTTGAAAAGGAGTAGCTTGCTCCTCAGATGAATCCTAAGTCCCCTTAAAATCTGTAAACGATATAAAATGTTTCATAACTGGGCAAAGAAAGTCGATCAGTTGTTCAAAACAAACAAAACGTGATGTGATATCAGCTCACTCTTAATCCGTTGACTCGCTAGAAGTGAACGCCGATAACTGGGGTCAAGTGGTAAATGAATCATGTAGTAATCGAAGCTCAGTGGCAAAGGAAGACTCGCTATGACTCAATCAGTGAATCAATCAGGGGATCAATATCTTTAACTGACTCATCACAATTGGTTACACTGGAGATTCTAAGTAGTTCCTGGACTGATTACCTTTTAATGGATTGTCTCTGTCATTTCAACCTCAGGGTTAACACTAAAGGTGTCTGCTTTAGATCAGGTCGTTTTTTTTTTCTTCTTTTTTTTTTCTGTCTACAAAATGAGCCACTCGGGTTGTAGTTTGAAAAATCGGCAACTTCTGAAAGAGCGTTTGGGGGATGCAGCTAAGCGCCCAAAGCTAAAATGTCAGTAGTACACAGAGCTGAAGTGGAGGAAAATGGATTCAGTTTGTTGAGTTGGGGACTTTGCCTTTGAGCTCCCCCTGATGGCAAAAAGAATTATAGCAGAAGTTTAACATCCAGGCAGCAGTGTCCATTATAAATAAATCATAAAAGAAAAGATGTGCACTTTAAGAAAACTTACTCCAGCCTGGGGAGAATTATTAGAAATTGCTTTCTCTAGATTGAAAAGCTAACTGATTTGCTTTGTTTTAAAAAGGTAAAATAAAAAAAAAGAAATAAAGAAGGTAATGCACTTTCAATTCAGTAGTGTGATGATTTATTCCTCTAAAGGCAAGGTCACCCACTCATCTCTGAGCAGTACAGGAGTGTTCTCTTACGAATCAGTGCATCCGTGACTGGACCTGAGAGGATGAGATGATGTAAGGTTCATGTACACAGGATCGGAGAGGAAATGACGAGGACTGATGGATGAAAGTGCTTTGTTCTGCCGTACACGCAGGCAACCGTCACCAGTGTTGGATGTCCCTGGGCGTGCATTATCGCGGCGAGCTCTGTTAGCGTTCAACTATCAATCACTAAGCGTCATGTTTACTTCAGCACAAGTGACACTTGAGTACTCGCACAATGTCTGCCTCTTTTTTAGCACCGATACTGTACCGCGCGTGGTGACACTGACTGCTCAACTGACGCCTCTCGAAGAGGGAAGCAGCGCACGCCTCAACAGCAACACCGGCATCTAACTTTGAGGTCTTCCTTTTATTTTGAAAGAAAACAGCCGTTTTATTCAAGGTACTTGACACCACATGTGGTGATGAATATTGGCTGTGAAGATGGTAAGCTTATCAGATGAAAGGAGTTAATGTAAAAGAACATGACCGCAGTGGATCAGGGATTCTTAAAAGCCTTCCACGTCCTATCAAAGATTATAGATTTAGAAAATGAAATGAAGCAATCAGGATGATGCTTTTAACTGATGAAAGTCACCCACTAGCTGAGAATGAACATCCTAGAGAGGTTCAAGCTCAAATCCATAAAGCCTTTGTCTTTTGTATTTAAATGGTGACAACCGGCATACATTGTACTGGTCTGCGGTAGAGATATGGGGCTTTTGGACCTCCTGCGTTGCACTCATCATTAAAGACACAAACAAATTGGAGCACCGGGGATAAGGATGGGCAGCCTGACTTGAGCAGATGTCCTCTATGTGAAGACATGACCCTGCACATTCCCTCTGAGAGTGAAGCGCACAGCAGCTGTTGTTGGGCCACTGCTGAGGCAGCTGGATGGTTCTACATAAGCTGAGGTCAATGACACAGTTATTTGTGTGTAATACATTTTTTCAAGTAATTGACAAGAAAAAAATGGTAAGTTTCTTTAACTGTACCCTTATTACCATGTAATTACAAGGTAGTTAAAAAACTGTAATTAAATGGTAATTACTACATTATTGCATGTAATTACGTGGTAAATACGGTACAGTTTTACAATGTAATTAATTGTCTGCAGTAATGTAGCACTTATCTGGTAATGTATTATAATTCACTATGTAACATCTAAATAAATAGTAGGTAATTTGGACAGTTTTAAAGTTATATTTTATTGCAATTAACCACTAACCCCAAAAATTAGTTGCATTCTTTTGGTTATAAATATAGTGCTGAGTTACTATTGATCAGTAATTTGATTGTAGTTACCCAATAAAGGTAGTTTTACTAACAGTAGTTTTTTTGTACCCTAATTATCATGTAATTACATGGTAATAAGGTAGTAAGTACATTTGATTACAATTTTATTACCTTGTAATTACATGGTAGCAAGGGTATCATAAAAGAAAGTGTTACCAAAAAAAAAACTACTTGTAATTGCATTAAATAAATTGTTTTGCCAATTACGATTGTGCAACTTACAAAAAAAAAATCCAATTTAGGTTGTAGGATTTCAATTGCTTTTTCTAAATTCATTTAATGGCATATATTTTAGACATCCATCCATCCATCCATCCATCCATCCATCCATCCATCCATCCATCCATCCATCCATCCGTCCATCCATGATTTTCATTATTAAACCAAATTTGGAGCAATTCAAAATTACCTCATTTGATTTAGACAAAACTAAATCTCATTTAAAAAGCATGCAATGTTCCATTAAATTGCTCCCGTCTTTAGGTGGAATTAGGTCTGTTGTGTTATTTTTTTCTCTACCACTTTCATGTTTGTTTGTTTGTTTGTTTTTTCTTTTTTATATGCAGCCTTTGAATTGTTTGCAAAGTAGGTAATGAATTACCATCAATTAAGTGAATTGTTTCAGTGACTCGAGCCTGAACACAGAGACAAGGGGAGACATTTTGTCTTTAAAGATACATAAAAGAGACACAAAGGAGACACAGAGCTGTTAATAAGCATGTTTATGGGAAGAACAAACTGCTCCATTTAAGCAGCCACAAAACCCATGTCAAAATTCAAACTGTGTACTTATGATGATTCAATAAACAGACAAAAAACATCTAATGGAATGAAAAAATAAATAAATACTACATGGATTTTTGCTTTGGTGTAAGTTTTTTAAGCATAACTCATTAAGGTAGTAGTTATTTTTTCTTATGTATGTAATAGATTGATTAGCATAAAACCTAAAAGAGATTTAGCAAATAAAACATTTTGTTTTATTTTATTTTTTTACATCCTTGAGAAACAAATGAAAGATGTGATCTTATGAGTGGAGATGACTGAACTCATGCCAAGCAGAGTGACAGATTAGGTGATGCCCCCACCACCACCTGAGGTCCCTTCAGTCGATCAGGTCTAAATTCAGCAATGCTAGGTACCCAACTTGATGAGATCAGCTGAGTACCTTAATACACTGTGTCCTGGAAAAATAAATTATCCTTTAAAGTCCCACATTTCTTCTCAGGCCAAGAGTCAGTGACCTCTTTTGCTTACCTTAAAATGTCATCATGTTTTATGATTTTACTCTTTATCTTCTGTTTTCTCGCAGACAAAGTGTTTTAAGATCAGGACAATATCTGTTTGAAGTAATCATTCTTGTTGCTGTTTATCAAACATCACTCTCTCCTTGGCCCAGTTTCGGCACCAAGAGAGATGTTTATTGTCTTTCTGGATAACATTCTGTATAAATGTATGTATTGGAAACTGCCTCAGGGCAGGATGGATGGATGGATGGATGGATGGATGGATGGATGGATGGATGGATGGATGGATGAATGGATGGAAGGATGTCTAAAATGGATGCCATTAATTTAATTTAGGAAAAACAACCACTGCCCTGTGTGACATGATGTGTGTCTTGCAATTGCAATAAACCCTGTTGACCATTTCACAGAGTACTTTTTATTCTTGGATTTTGTGTTTCTGTCTAGGTAAAATAAAGATTTCCACGATGTACTGAACAACCTTTTTTTTCCCTCCATTAATAGATTATTTTTGTTCATCTCTGACAGCACCGGCAGATTCTAAGATGACAATGCCAGGATTCATCAGGCTCAAATGGTCAAAGAGTGGTTCAGGGAGCATTAGACATCTTTTTTATGCATGGGTTGGTCACTACTGACTTTAACTTTACTAAAAATCTGGAGAAAAGAAGGCATTTTGCAGTAAAATTGCTTCTCTGTTAGGAATCGCTGCAAAAATTTAATGCAACTTCAGAAGGAAAAATTAGATGTGACATTGCGTGAGCTTAAAAGGCCTAAAAGATAGAGAATGCGTGGCATTATAAAATCTAAAATATTTCTGCAGGAAGTCAGGAAACCTTTACCTCTATTGCATCCCTTTTCATTTGGATAAATCTCTTGTAAATCCCACCTAAACTTGAGTAATTGAAGAAGTAAAACTCTGAAGTACCCTTTTGAGGAGGACAACATTGGCCTCATGACCACTGGTTTTGTGGATATGAGCATCTGCTGTGCCCTCACTGCCCAAGCCCTGAGCTGCATTGTGTGCCAGAGAAGCGCCTGTCCTCAGCAGGAACCTCCGGTTTGCTGAGCAGCCCAGCATGCTAGGATCAGCATTAAGACATCCTGCTTTAGACAGAGAATGTCCGCCCTGCAGTACCTTCCGTTTGCCAAAAAGTGGTAAAAAGCAAAATAAAAATAAGTTCAAAAATGCATATAATGACATATAAATAAAAATGCCCTAACTGTGTAATGAATCGGCAGTTTACTGGGCAGTAGAATGGCAAGGAATGGAAACTATACTGAATGAGTTATTCATTATAAAACACAGTGCTGTATTTTGGGCCGTTAGAATCTGCCACCATCTGAAACTAAATTCACTGGGAGATTTTAGGATGTATGCACATATAGATTCATTGGTGCAGGACCATCAAATATCTTGAACAGCAAAAAGACTAATGAAACTTATCAAGTTTGTAGACCATGCCTCTCATCAAACCAACACTTAGTCAATTCCACTGATGAAGCCCGTCCAGTTGTTAGGAACCAGACTCGACTGTAATATAAACCAAAATAGGCATCCGGAGACACGACAGTATAAGAAAGTCAGAAAGGTCTGTATTTGTTCAGCCAATTTGACAAGCTCTACGGCACTTTATAGAATGCAGCATTTCTGTTTCCTCTGATTTTGGACAGCATGGGTCATCGGGGACGGAAATATTCCATTAAAGGCTTAAATTCTTTTCCATGGTCAAAAGTTGCACAGTCCACAAATGCAAAAATAAAGACGAAAAAAAATTGCAAACCCTCGCATAAGAAAGTACTACATAGAGCGTAATTTACATTTCATGTTGCACTTTGAAGTAAATAGGATAACAGGAAAATTTCTGGTGTTTCTACTGAATAATTCTGCAAAGTAGATTGGAAAATTTTAAAGACAGAGGATGTTCCCACTGGTCTATAAAAGCCTGGTTATATGTGCCGAGGCTTGCTTTAGATGAAAGTGGTTTATATGTATATATATATAAATGCATCTTTACTTACATTTAAAAGTGGTGACAGCTCCACCACAACCATGGGCTCACTGGGCTGTAGTTCAGGTCTCACTGTCACGGTCAGGATCTTAGAATTGATCACTGCAGGGTGACTGCAAAACACAAAACACACACAAATCAACTGTTTTGTACATTCAATTATGCATGTGAAGCATCATAAACAACCCAAATCCCTACACATACTAATGCTTTTCAGGATTTCTGAGTGAGTTTGCATTAATACTGATGTGGTTTTAAAAAAAAGAAAGCCTAATGAGAGAGGAGGAAAGCTGAAGAGAGTGCCTCAGTAAGAACAGAAGGCTGTGCTTATTAACATTCAGCAGAGCTAGAGAGGGAAAAAAAGGTTCTAAAAGATCCAGCTCATCCACAACCAAGAGCACTGACCTGAATAAAAGGGCCCAGGGCCAGCACAAACACTATATCACAGAGGACTTCTGACAACCCCCTGATTTCCTCTAACTTCTAATTTTGCAAGTTCTAGGCAAGTTTCAGAACATATTAGGTCCCTGCCTGTTCACATTGTATTGTACACTTTCAAAAGTACACTGGGGAAGTTAAAGAAAAAAATATATATCTAGGGGCATCTTGGAGGGGAAAAAGTACTTATTTGTGTGGTGAAGAAACCAAGTTAGAGGAGAAACAAAGACTTTATAAGAGGACAGACAGTTGGAGATTAGAGGATGGAACAAGATTAAGGAATGTTAGACCAAAAAAATGGGCACCGAAACAAAATGAAACTGAGAATGAAAAAGGAAATAAGTAAAAAGCAATACTTGAAAAGGTGAAAGAAGACCTTAAAAAGTGTCACGTATTAAGTTCATTGTTTTAAATCTTAAAAAAAAAAGCATTTCCACCCTACATTGCAAAATTTTAAACACAGCTTGTGTGTTTTCTAAGCCCTGCAAGTCAGTTATGAAGACGACTCACAGCTACCACCACATCGTCATTTAGCTCAGTATTTGTAAAATTAACCGAGTTATAGCGATTTATGTGCTTATTCCTCAAATTGTTCTGAAAGCCATCTAGAATTGAGTCGACTTGAGAAATCATTATTTTCTGAGTTTCTTTTGAAATCCATCCAGTATTGTATGAGATATTTTACTAACAGGAAGACAAAGTTTATTTCAATATGTTAAAGCCAAAGTTTCCAACAAATATATTTTCTTTTTTTTTCAAGCAATCTGTTGTGAAAGACTTTCATTTAAGACCAAATCAAAATTTAGCCATGAAAGGCAGTGAATAATGGAGTGTGGGAGCTGATGTACTTACATTGGTCCAGGTAAGATGTTGCCCAACGTTCTGTACAAAATGGCACCAATGACGTAGTACATTGGGGATTCTATGTCTGATTCTGTCTCTGAAAGAAAAAAAAATGCTTCAGTTCACTCTATAAATCAGTACATTTGAAATGTCACAATGTTATATTTATTTTATATGAATGTGTTTTCCAATAAATAAATGCACTCTTCATCATCACTGACTTCTATCTACCTATCAAGCAAATCAGCATTTCAATATCTCATATTCTTAGGGTGAAGCACAAAAGAGAAGTAATTACTTAAAGATCAAAAGGAAAAAAAATTGTATAGGTCCTCTGGACGGGTTCTTCTTTAATGAAACGTTTCGTCTCTCTTTCAAGAGACTTCTTCAGTCTGAGAGTTTCAGGCAAAATTCAGGCTTTTAAGTCCTGCCTCCAGGTGACTGATACTCACATCACATGGCTATGGTTCACAGGTGACTGATACCCACATCACATGGCTATCATTCACAGGTGACTCATACTCACATCACATGGCTATGGTTCACAGGTGACTGATACTCATAGCCATGTGATGTGAGTATCAGTCACATGGAGGCAGGACTTAAAAGCCTGAATTTTGCCTGAAACTCTCAGACTGAAGAAGTCTCTTGGAAGAGAGACGAAACGTTTCATTAGAGAAGAACCCGTCCAGAGGACCTATACAATTTTTTTTTTCCTTTTGATTTTTTACCTGGATTACTGAGATGCATCAGGACATTACTTAAAGATGTTACAATACAATTGAAATGTAAAACATGTGCGTTGGGAGCCCTTAAAACAAGACTGAAGTTTTCTGAAAATTGCAAATCTTTTTTTTAGAGAACTCATTTTTAAAGTTGACAGTAATCAACAGAAATCACTGGTGTTTTACAGATAATCCATAATGTAAAAAAAAACATTATCAATAATTGGAAGTCAGAGTAAGTTTGCAGAAAACAAATTGATTCTCTTCTAAAAAAAATATTTGTTAAAATATTCCACTCAGTCAGCTCACAGCTTGTCAGCCAGCAAGACAGTTTGAGGCCGTGGGTCTTATCAGAAACAAAACAATAACAACCCTCTCAGCAGCTGCTGTTCAGGATGCTCTTAAAAAAAATCACCCTCTTAAAGTCACATGTGCATACAGTTGGGTCTGTATATTGGGACACTGACACAAATGTTGTCTTTTTAATAAAAAAAAAATGTTAAAAGTAAATGTTGTTTACTGAAACTTATTTGTTATAGTGATATGATGTAATGAACATAAAGTCCAAACATTAAGCTTTCATTTGAGTCTATCCGCATTCAAATTTGATGAAGGGTTTAGGAGTTTCAGCTCCTAAACATGTGCCACCCTGTTTTAAAGGCTGAATAGGTTTGTGATTTTCCCATTACTTTGCTGACTAAAACATAGGTCAAAGATTTTGGGCGAATAAAAATGTTTTGTATTAACTACCTACAACAAAATAAAACAATGTAATAGTTTAAAAAAATAATGCCATAGTTTTCCTATTACCTTCTACTACACACAGGTTTTATGAAAAATAAATACAATGATGTAACAATGTATCAAAAACTAAAGCATGCCAATATTATTAACACAAGAAAAAATACCTTCCATTGCACACTGTCATATTCAAAACTAATGACTAACTCCACACTGTTTGAAAACTCTGCACTGCTAACTTTAAATTGCATTTTGTGAAAAAAATACAGTCAGAAGTTCAAATAAAGTGCAAACAAAATAATCAGTCTCATAACACTAGTACCAATCTGAAACCAATACTCATCTTGATATCAATACAATCGATAAGATTGGTACGCCTGCCCCTAGTCACAACTTGCCACTGCCAGCTACAAAGGTTGGACAATATTCTTACAGTTATAGCAGAAGAAACAATACACACTTATTTGGGCAGGCAACTGCTACAAGAGAGTGACATATTTGTTTTCATGTTGACATGGAAAACAGGAAGTAGACAGCTTTAAAAATTCAAAAGCCAAAATGTCTCCAGGAAGGAGTAAACCCAACAATCTGTCAAAAAGGCTGAAATGTTGCTCTTTGGGCTAAAAAAAAAACACATCATCTGTTCATTAGAAGAACAAACCAGTGAAGATCTCAGCTGTCTCATCAACCAACAGTTCCAGTCTGATTTACATGTGCTCTTAACGTGTTGCTGACAATCGCTCTGTTGACTTCATCACAAGAGAAGTTGATAAATTGCAGTGTCTGCCTGGAGCATTTGACAGCTACACATTCAAGCTAATTGTCTTAAAAAAAGGCAAGTCAGGTGCACAATCTGGTTGTGCACATTGTGTGGGTGGAGAAACTGTTTGCGTCAATTTGTTTGCAACCAAGCCGTCGGTTGCTCACCTACTGCACAGCCGTGACCTGCTGTGACACAGAAGCCTCATTAGCAAAACCAAGACCACCACTGAAATCCAGTGAGTTAAAAACAAAACAAAAAGAGACGAAAGGAGGGAAAAAATAACAACAAAGGGAATTCAGTGCTTCTGGGCTTTTATGCTCTTGCTCATTTGTCTTCGAGCTTATTTAAAAGTAACTCTTTCCTTCTTTCTGATCCTTATCTGCTTCCTTATCCAACTCCTTTGTTGCCGTTTCTGCTTTGCACCGACCAATTTTTCTACTTTTTTTTCACTTATTTCTGTGGTCCCTCTACATGTCGCCACGCCTGCTATCACTCCATACGCTGTTCCATTGCCTAAAAAGAGCTGGAGTTTCCATGGTGCCCATCTGCAAAATGTCACTTTTTTCCTCTCTCTCTCAAATGAGGCACAAGGAAGCAGACAGGAAAAGTACAAGAGAAGGTATTCATGTCGAGCGGGGCCACTCCCTTTATTGCCCTTTTACGCCGAGAAAAAAAGACGGAGGGGCACGAGCAAAGAAAAGGGAGAGAAGGAAACAGAGGGAGGCTGATGGAATCAGACATAAAGGGTGACTCATCTAAAATCTGTCTGCCTGCTGCCTAAAAGGTAATGCTCAGGGAGAGAGTTAGCTACGCAAGACAGATGCAGAAAAAGGAAGAGACAAAAAGAACTCAACAGTGGGGCAAAAAGCAATTTTGAGACGGTGAGGAGGCACAAAAAAAACTAGATCAAAGTCAGCATGAGAAAGTCTGTGAGTTTGATGGAACCTAATTGGACAGTGTCTGCGAAGGCATGCAAATGAGAGAGTCAGTGTATTATGGGTAAATGGTAAATCAGTATGTGAGGGGGTGGCACTCCTACGCCGGGGAATGATTAATACCGCAAAAGCACTCAATCACAAAACTCTAATTTCCTACGAACTGAGTTTTCGTCACTCCCGCCTCACTGCACATCGAAATGATTGGTGGTCAGCCATAATCCAGTAAAATGGCAAACCACCAGTCACCAGCTGTGAACTCTAATATGCCATTTATCAAGAAAAGATATGCTCAGTGTTGATGCTAAGCCAGAATCTGTCGTTTTAATCAATTATTAAAAGCTACATCCAAACAGTTACTCTGTTTTCTCAGTCTATGCAACACTCCTTTATTTTCCAGTCTTAAAAACACACAACTCAAGGCATTTAGTTGTGTTAATACAAAGTGATTATTGTAGTCCCATAATACGTCTGAATTTTAAGATCTTGGGAAAAGTTAATTGGTGTACAAAAAAAAAAAGAAGAAAAAAGAAAAACAACAACAAAACCGTTTGGTCTCAGTAAGGATCTGGTTCATGTTTGTGAAACATGAGATTACAGTTAATATAGGCTAATCAGCCATAACTCAAAAACCTGTATCTAATTTTATCTGCACTATAATATTAAGGTTACTTGTTGTGCATGTGTGTGTTTAGTTGTGACCCACGCAGAGTGAGACAGTGACTATCACGACTGTTAATTTGCTTATGGCAACCTGTCATTGTGTGACCACACTATAGGCCCATAGACAAGATGGGATGAGCCATTAGCCAAATATGTCTTGAAGATATTTCTCTTTTTTTTCTGTAAGTTAAAGAAGACCTAAAGGTAATAGTTACATCCATGGATGTATGCATGATCATAAAACTATTCCTCATGTCACTGAGGGAGTTGAACAGAAGCTTGTTCTTGACTGTGGTTTTTCTCTCCCTCTGGTACCAGATAATAAGGGTCTTTGATGGCAGTTTAATGTGTCTTTGGATTATTCTTATCCGAGGTTTAGTACCAGAAAAAAAAAATCACAACACCTATGACAAGCAGTGTGAGTAATACTGTTTGTAACAATACAATGTTCTGCTGAAAGAAGTCTACGTCTTTGCATACTACTTGGATATTTGCTACCTGTTTATCATTTTAGAAGTGGTAGGCAGTAATAGGAATTTTTGTATTGATCCAATACTAAGTAAATGCAAAACTAATATTGCCAATCCCAATGCCGATATGTGTTATGTTCATTGAATGTTTCTTGGCTTTTACCTTTATTTAGTCAATTTTGATAAAATAGGCAATATTTTTGGAAAAAATGTTTTGTATTAAATAACTACAAAAAAGGCAACAAAAAACTACTTCCATTTCACACGGGCATGATGAAAAGGACAAAAGGCTAACTCCAAACAATTTGGAGACTCTGCACTAGACTTCATGAAAAATAAAGTCAGTAGTGCAGATAAAGTGTAAACAAAAAAATCAGTCTCAGTGAATTATTATCTAAAACTGAAAACAATCTCAGTGTTGATAGTACTAAGATTGATATGGCCACCCCTCCATTTCAGACCATTTACACCTAATGCATGACAAAAAACAATAACAGCTACCTACTAATCAAAGCAGGTGTAAACCTAAATGGATCCACAATTAGTTGTAAAATTAAACTTTATTTGATAAACATTTATTTTAACTTTAAAATAAAGACTGTAAAAATACTGTAGGCTGATTAGTTTTGTATTTTTTATATAACATATTTTAACACGGACAGCCTTTTTATTTCCACGCAAAGCATTCTGGGTAAATAATGACATCAACTAGGTCATTGGTGCGAGGCTGCTAGCGAGCTATATCCACCCTGAAGGTTAATCTTGGACAAAAAGTTTAAAATTTATAAAAACTTAACATC